TAACGGTGATTTTCGGTGTAGGCAATCGGGTGCTGTATAAGCTGGCTTTGATTCCTTTGAAGCGCTATCCATTCTTTCTCGCTCAGCTCGCCACTTTCGGGTACTTGCCGCCATTTTCTCCCCCCTTTTTTCTGCCCTTAATCAGTACCACCAAAAATAGATTTCTTCTATTTTTCTCAAAATTAACTAAACAGAATTAACGTCAAATTTATCAATTAATCCGATATCTCAATTTAATGCTGTAGCTTTTTCTTTGGATCAGTCCTTTTACTGCTTTAACTTATAGTTATGGCCTTATGGGCCTATGCCATACAAATAAAATAGGCAGCATGTAATTCTTGTCCTTTTGAAATTCGGTTGGGTCATTTTTGGTGATCAAGCAAAGTAAGTTCACACTTCATTTTTCATCCCCAAATTTTATCAAACTGCAAGTATATTGTCTTTTAGTGAACGAACGCCGTTCTCTTCAATAGTTAATAGTTTTAGTTATTACATTTTTAGTTTGGTGGAAATCAGTTCAAAATGGACGAACCTTACACGGCAGTAGATGTAACAAGAATAATCCCATTTAAAACAATTCTTAGTAAATACTCTCTGATTGAGTAATATAACTATTAAAAACCATGGTGGCTTGAAAATAGGCATCTGTCTTTCATCCCCCACCGTTGATATTTCTTTCGTCCTTCCATTGATTGTGATCCCAACTTTGAAAAAGATATATTATTAATGTGTTATTATAGAAGTCATTGGTTCAGTCCATCATGGTTTTGTTTATTATACTTTTGGGATATATGCGGTAAAAATATGAAATGTTACACTTCTGAGTTTTGATGTGACTTGTAAAGTTGACGTGGATGGGTTTGGTTAATCGTACCGAACTTTGTAACTACAGTAGAACTTTGACCACTCTCTTCTAAAGCTCAGATTTTTGTTAATGGGCACTTTCTTTTATGATCGTAGGAATGATGTAGATTCTGTGAACTTTAGCAAAAGCTATGATGCGGGTTTAGAAAAGTATTAAGAAAGGAAATAAAGTAGCGTCCGCGGACTGTAGATACTGATTTAGGAAAGGTGTAAAGGTTGAAACCACATGAAAAGCGAAGACTTTAGAGGGTGGTTCTTCAGAATCTTCAACAAGCGTTACGGCCCACTTGCAATTTGATCAGAATTGTAAGGCTTGAAGTATTGACCGGGGGAATAGTTATTGTTTAAAGAGGGGTGGTAAATATCTCAGAAAAATAAAAGAGGGTTGATAAATTATAGGCTTGATAAAGTGGGCGTATTTAATGGTGGGACCGGTTTGAATTTGTATCACATATTATATGCTCCTTATAGATCATTAAAGTTGGAAACGGTGTCGTTTCACTTATTGGTACTACTATAATATCTTTTTCTTTCAGTAGTGCACTTTTCCATTTTCTGGGTCACACCAAGGAGTCTGTGGTGAGTTTTGCTTCTTCCTTGTGGTCCTGAGATTTGAAAGACAAATTCGCTTTTCATTTCAATTTCAAGTCACATTATTGCATATTATATTTATTGGGAACTCCCCATCTTAATAAAAAAATATGGACATGAATTTTTAACTCAATGTTTTCTGGTCCCGCGGCTGCGCCTCAATTAAAATAGTTAATTTTTAATGTTGTCCTGCAGAGTGCATTCCCCACACCTCACAGACAAACACCTTTGTTAAAAATATTTACTTTAATAAACAATAAAGAAATGATTGGCGTATCTTACAATATTTTTTATAAGCGTACAACAAGGAGTTTAGTTGGGATTGTCATTATTTTATATCTTGAATCTTAAATTATATTTAAGACTGATTAGGAATTCCAATTTTCTACATCATGGATATTCCATTTCTTTCAAGAGATCTAACCCCTTCATAATATACCAGAATCAGCGTTGAACTTTACTGATCCAGTCTCATTACATAGTATGATTCCCTGATCAAACCAATACACCAAGTTTTCATCTTTACTGAGTCATACCCACATTTCATACGTTAAAGCAAACTCTATAAAGCTGGCTGTTTTCTGCTGATTATCATGTTGCTGTTGCTGTTTCATTGCCTGACTTTAATTATATTTCTGCCGCTTATGCACACACTAGTTATTTATACTTTGTTTTAAACGTTTGCTCCACTGATGATTTTGCATATCTTTATAATGTGGACCGAATGTTTCTTTGCGTGGCACTCACTTAGCGCATGTGCAAGCGCTACGATTGGGTTAAATTAATTTCTTACAATTCTACTCTTTTCAGGTATTTAATTGTTTACTTTTCTATTTTGTATCTGCGGTATCATGCTGGCGTCGTTACGGATGAGATGCTTTCCATGCCAAAGGGCCCATATCTTGTTGCTGGCCTCTTGGAAGCTCTTGGTGCTGCGACAGGGATGGCAGCAGCGGGTAATGCCTTTAGCAAGATCCCTCACTTCAGCAATCTTCCGTTTCCTTTTCTTTCTAATTTTTAAAATAAATATTTGTTTTAAGTTTTAAGTATTTATTAAACATGTCAATTTAAACATAGTTGAACAAAAAAAAAAAAGTACATATTAAACATATCCGAACATAAAGCAGTAAACTAAGTTGATTATACTTCATTTGTTCGATAACGTTTTTTCTAATTATTTTCTGTTTTTGAAAGTCATGCTCACAAAGTAACAATTTTCCTTGTTTTGTAATGTATATCAAAACACATTTTGCAATTTTAGCCTTCTTTTTAAAGTGTTTTTCTTTATACAACATGTGGGGGTGGGGATCGAACTTACAACCTCTTGGTTTGAGATACATGCTAATTACTGCTTTGGTTTTTTAAAGTACTTTTCAGATATTATAAAATATAAAAAATGCTAAAAGTGAAAAAAAGTTACAAAGAAGTTATTAATGAATGGCTTTAACTTCTTGAAAAAGTAATAAAAGCATCATCAACAGGGGCCTTAATTATTTATTATTTTATTTATTTTATTATTTTTTATAGGAACAAAAGAATATATTTATTGAATTAGATGTCATCTCGTCTGTTATTGTTACAATTTTGTAATTATTAATTGCATCTTTGTTACAATAGAAATCCTTTCAACTAACTTCTGTTATTTTCCTTGGATCAGCCATTCTTTCTGGAGCATCAATTCCAATTTTGTCTCAGGTAAAGCAGAGCGAGCATTTTTTTCCTCCTGATATTAAATCACATCTGTTGGCTTTGCATTATTTAACGACTCCTGTAGAAATATTTGAATTTGGTACAGAGCTTCAGATAATTTTGGTGTCCTTTTCCACGCCAAAATTTTGTTTGAATTTTATGCTCAATGATTTCTCTTTTCCAATCTTATCTTGTTTTTCTTCTTCTTGGCCCTCCCCATCTTGAAATGACAAATGAATAGGCGTAGATGACAATGACGTTTGAATTTAATGACTCCTTTTTTTTTAATCTTATTATTTTTCTTCTCTTGAATAGTTTTTGGGCATCATCACGCTTCATTAGGTTGTTGGTCATTCATCAAGAGTTAGATAATGACTAATAGAGAATCCAATTATTAGGACTTCAATAAGATGGTTAATTAAATGAACAGTACCTCCTAAAACAGTGCAATGAAGAATACTTTCAAGAGTATTGAACAATATCATGAATGGTGAGTGGACAAAAAAATCCAAATCCTCACAGAATTTCTATGCTTACCTTCCTATTCAAATATATCTATAAAGTAATCGTGAATCGTAACTAATCATAATAACAAAAAAGGAGATATCAGACGTTTTTTAGCATCACAGCATTACTTATTTAAAATTCAGATTTGGAGTGACATCTGCTAGCATTTCACTCATTCAAAAGCCTGCTCATAAGTCATGCTATCCTATAGCAAGACAGGTATGGAATAGATTCATCTTAATTTCTTTTTTGGTGTCATAGTATAAGAATGGAGAACATGCATTGTTTAGATCGCACAAACAAGAAGTTTTCTTCTATAGATGACCAGATTCTGTTAAATATATAGGTTGAGTAAATCCAGTAAATACAAATATTACAGATATTTTCTTGTAGCCTTCTCTTTGTTAAGGTTTCTGCAAAATACGCATGCTACTTATTATGGTCCATTTTGTTTGCAGACTTTTCTTGTGTGGCAAATTATCCTGTCAATTATTTTCCTTGGGCGGAGGTACAGGACCAATCAACTTTTTGGATGCTTTCTTGTTACCGTTGGTGTAGTCATTACTGTAGCGAGGTAATTTTCATCATCAGCAATTACTACTTCTGCAGGCTCAAAATAACTATATTATCTTAGTTGCTCATTATGAACTTGAATAAAAAGAATATCCTGTGATCGTGAATACATAAGTAAAGCAGCTAAACTTTGAGGCACATTTCTAAAGCGTGCGGCTTTGATTAGTCCTTTCTCTCTAAAAAAGCACATTACTTTAACTGATCAAGTGAGGCGATATAAAGGGATAGATTCAAGGTCGAGAGAGGAATATCAAGTATTTAAAATATTTATGAATTCACTTGATCAGTTATTAAAACGTTGCATGTAGCATACGCATTACTGGAACTATGTTGCTCAGATATAATATCTAGTTAACAAAAAAAATTATCTTGCAGCTTTTTGGTACCAAAAATCTTAAATTGATGTTGGAATTCTCTGAGAGACATAATTTATCCTTTTTTGTCAATGATTTTGATTGGAATGTTGTTATTGTTTAGAAATTGGGGGAGGGTGGGGAGGGTGAGTTCTACCCTCTGCCCTTAGGCTGTTTCCTCTTTTGATGGTTCTTTGAATATATTGTCTTTTATCCAGAAAATATACATATATAACCGTCAACCTTGGATTATTGCAGTGTCACTGTCAAATGTTTAGTATTATACTTATCAGATACTATAAAAAAGAATAAAGAACACCTGAACAACTCTGAATTGATGGCCATTGCGCAGTCAAGAAACACATTTTTATCCAAACACAATCATCATTAGGAAACTTACTCTCTAATGTCTTCTTTTCCAGTTATATCGACCAAAATTACCAGTTGCACCTCTGAAGTATTTTATACTTTCTCATATCTTAGCACTTACATACCTTTGCTAGCAATAAATCCAAATAAGGTGGCTATGGGCTTACGGAAACCTAAAGTTTCTTTGAGTTAAAATACCTATTGATTAGCATTTTTGGCTATCTTTGGGGCTTTTGGCTTATGGGTCAGATATGATAGTATGAATTTTGGTAAGTTAAACTAAGAAATTATAAACATAGGTTCCCAAAACCTGTGACTAAAACACCCCGTTAAAGACATTATTCTAACCTGGAGAGAGGTTTCCAATTATCCATCTTCTAAAGTATAATTTCAACTGGCCTGAATTCCTCCCAAGATGTTGCCTTAACTATTAACTAGTAAAGTAACTTATATGATTATTCTATATTATTGATGCACGAACGTTTTCATCACTATCTGGTTATGAAGGCAGAATCTTTGCTGTGTCCACTAGTTCCTTTGCTTGCATGAATTTTGTTGTAAGGTCTTATCCCCTCATATAACAAGAGGGTGTTTTGCTTGCTTGCATCTGCAGTGGTTCCAACGCTGGGCATTCCTTGAAGGAAGCTGGTATATTTTGGAGCCTTTTGATGATAATCTCGTTCTTGTTTCAAGCAGCTGATACAGTCTTGAAGGTAGTTGGTGGCTAAATAATAGTTGGTTTCACAGTAAATTGTGCACGTTGTTTCTTTAATGAATTTTTTTTCTAATGTAGGAAATCATCTTCTTGGATGCATCCCGAAAATTGAAGGTATATTATGCAACATTTCTTCTTTTCTCTTTTTGATAAGAAACAATTATCTGTGCTGACTTGATTTCTTTCTTTCTTTCTTTCTTTTTTTTTTTTTTG